CATACGAATGTATTTTTGTTCAGTTTTTCTTTTGTAATTAGCTTTAATTGTAGTAGTGTAGTGTCCTCAAGCAAATTGCCGCATCCATTTGCACTTTTGTTTCCATATGAAGCATACGTGCTAAATAATTTTGTATGTGTGCACTGTAATAATAAAACGAAAATTGTTATAGCACACTATTTTCTTGTTATATACGCTGCATCTATTTTCTATTCAATATTTTTTTTTTCGATTTCACTCAAATAAAAGTTGGTTTTGTTACAAATTGAATTTTTGGTACATTTAGATGTTAAGTTGCTGGAAATTGCATTGTATTCGCTTAACATACATACTCAAAAGAAAAAGGAATATTTATTATATAGCGATGGCGTATAGACAGTATTGGCTCGTATGCATATTTGCTTTATTTAAATATCAATTGAGGTATTCACAACGGTGTCGTAAGTATTTAATTGTTGTATGTCGTAAACTTTAAACAGCTTAAAAATATTAAGAGTGCTTTCAAGGAACCATAAAAGTTATATGAATTTTTCGTGTTAAAATATATTTTTGTGGTTTCTAGTCTTCTAGAAATTTATTTAAGCTTTTAAAGTTTAGGACATACAACAATACGTGCTGCAAATTAGAACCACTCTGCTTTTAAGGTAATTATAATTTCTGAAATATTCTAATTTCTGAACGTTTTTTTATTCGAATAATAATTGAAAATTGATTAAATTTACTTAAAAAATTACAATAGAACTATTTTTTCACTTCATTTAATTTAATAAAAACAAAACCTAACAATCCAGTGCAATACATGTAACATGTATTTTTTTTTTTAAATACATACATATATGGTTGCATTAAATTAAAAACAGCGGGGAACACACATAAATTGCTGTGACCCCTTTTTAATTCTACTTTGTTCAAACAAAATACAAAACTAAATAGGGGTTTTCCTGTGGTCAAATCAAAACAAAACATTTAATTCTAATTTCAAAGCGTTAAATGTTTCACTAACGCTAATTCTAGTTTCTGGAAGATTCGAATTTCAGTCGCCATGATCGAGCAATCGTCGGCATAGGAGACAATCGAGACTACCTCTGGTGGTTGAGAGAGCTTTGAAATATAAAACAGTAGCGGGGAAAGGACACCACCCTGAGGAACCCCCTGTTTTATTTTTCGCTGCTTACTCGTTTTGTCTCTAAATATTACCGACGAATGTCGACCACTCAGATAATTTGCCGACCACCGTTTGAGCCTCTGTGCGAGAGAGGGGGCCTCTATATCTTCTAGTAGCGTGGAATGGCAGACGGTGTCAAACGCCTTTGACAAGTCCAACGCTACTAGAATCGTTCTCTCACAGGGACGGTTACGGTTAAGGCCACGAGTTATCTGAGTGTTTATGGCGTTAAGTGCTGTTGTTGTACTGTGCACTTTACGGAAACCATGCTGATGCTTCGCTGGCGTCAGGTGGTTTGTGAAGTACGGGAGTAGCAAGGCCTCGAATGTCTTCGCTACCGGGGAAAGGAGTGTAATCGGACGATACGAATCTCCTTTGTTGGCGGGTTTCCCTGGTTTGAGCAGTGGGGCCACTCTCCCCACCTTCCAGATGTCTGGGATGATGAGAGTGGCCATTGACAGGTTGAGGACCTCCGTTAGGTACGCTACCCCCGCAGGACCCAAATTTTTCAGCATCAGCATGCATATTCCGTCGGGACCCATGGCTTTGGAGGCTTTCGCCTTCCCGATGGCCACCTGAACTTCATCGCAAGTGAAAGCAAGGGGGGCACAAGTTGTTGGCAGTTTGTGCAGCCTTCTGGTCACTCGACGCTTGGCTTTGTCCACCGGAGGATGCAGTATGAACTGCCGGCTAAAATAGCTCGCGCATCGCTCCGGGTCCGACGGAGCATGGTCGCCGAAGGAAATTTCGAGTCTGTCGTCGTGCTTCGTCGGATTAGACAATGACCTACCGGTTGACCAGAGCTTGCTCACACCAGAGGTGAAATTACAAGTCTTCAGGTGCTCCTCCCACTTCTTCCGCTTATGTACGTTTACAAGTTGCCGAATCTGCGCGTTGAGATCCCTGATACGGGGATCTCCGGGATCGGCCTGACGAAGGCTATCACGCTCATCAGCTAGAACAGCCGCTTCGGCAGGGAAGTTTGGACGTGGGTCCGATATACATCCTGCCGGTATGAAGCGAGCTGCAGCAGCAGTGATAAGCCTGCGGAACTTACGTTCACCGAGATGGACGTCGGTTGGTGTGGGGAGCGCTGCGAAGGTGTTTTCGGTAAACTCCGCGTAACCTTTCCAATCAGCTTTAGAAAAGTTGATATAGGTCCGGTGTTTGGCGGAGGCAAAGCCGGTTGGTTTATCAATCGAGATGACTATGGGTAGATGGTCTGATGCTAGAGTCAGCATAGGTCGCCACGTTATGCTGTTTATCAGACCAGCGCTGACTATTGTGATGTTTGGCGAGCTACTGCAGTTACCCATAATCCTGGTGGGTGCGTCGTCATTCATTGTGCAGAATGTCGAATCGTCTATCTGCTCAGCCAAGTCTATTCCCCTACGATCGTTTGACAGGCTTGAGTGCCAAAGATCGTGGTGCGCATTAAAGTCACCTACTACCATACGGTTTTCACCTCTGAGGAGCGCACCTATATCAGGGTGATATCCTGCCGGGCAGCAGGTGACAGGGGGTATGTATATGTTAAATATTTCGAGCTCGACATCGCCTGACCGGATAGCGATGCCCTGACATTCTAGGGTGGTATCCCTGCGGTCGATGTCTGCTTCGATAAGACGATACTGCACGGTGTGGTGCGTGATGAACGCTAAGCCACCACCATTATCTCGCTCGCGATCTCGACGGTGCACGTTGTACCCGGCGCAATTCAACAAAGTTGAATTGCTGTGCAACTTCGTCTCTTGGACCGCAGCTATTAATATACCATGCCGACACATGAAGACGGTTATCTCCTCAATCTTGCTCTGTAGCCCGTTACAGTTGAATTGAAGGAGCTTCATGTGGTTCGGGAGACGTGTCGTGATGTGGGGTGTAAGTGAGGTGTATGTTCTTGCCGCCGTTGGCTGTGTGTGCTGCTGAGGTGATTGCCGCCCTGTGGTGGTGGTGGGGGGCGTCGCAATTGAAGTCTGCGACTGAGCAGCGCAACACGGGCCCTCGAAGTTCCCCGTCCAATCTCGCGTGGTACGCAGACCTGAACATGCCCTAAAGTGGCACCAGCCAAGGCAAGTGTTGCACTTGACTGATGTCACATTACGGAATATTCTGGTCTGACATACCGTGCAGATTGTAGGGGGAACCAGGAGTTGTTGGCGGCGGCGTGTGGGTGGTGGTGCGGTTGTGTGTGTTATGTGGTCTGTGGTGGCTGTGGTACGGTCTGTGGTGTTATTATGTTGTTGTGTTGTGGCGACTGTGTGTGGTTGCTGTGTGAGTGTGTGGGGCTGCACGGGCGGGCTATGGTTTGCCGTGGAGGCTGCTCTGTTTGAGCAACAGGGGGCCACGTACGACGTGGTCCACTGTCTGTGTGTCCGTAGTCCCGAGCAGACCCTGAGGTGACTCCACCCCTCGCAGGCATTACACTTGACTGAGGTGGAGTTGTGGCGTAATCGTCTTCGGCATACACAGCAGGTGTATATTTCTAGCCCAGGGTTTGACTCGATGCCAGCCCTGAGTAGGAGAATGCGTAGTGAATGTTGCCCTATGGACGGACAACTTCTGAGATACTTCGCCGACCTAAACGGGGTTAGATCGCCGAAACAACAGCCCTTGGTCGGGTGAAACCCGAGTCATTCCGGTACGTAGAACCGGCTGTCATCTCGTTAACTACACTATTTAAAAAGTTATTGATGCAAATATTTTGGTTTCCCCATAAGGTCAACATTACAGTCGAAATCTGTAAAGCGTTATTCTCGAATTCAGGTTTTTCGACTTAGGCGATTATTGCAAATGACCACAGATGTGTCTTTATAATCATATTCCCCTTCACCTTTGCCTTTATATTAGTAAAATTTTTAAATTTACCTTGATCTTAAATTTTGCATTTATCTCTACGCATCTTTGTTTTTGTTTTTATTTTAACCTCTGCCTTTATCCTTTTCTTTATCAATAAAATAACTGCGGTTGTGATTGCAACTCGAACAAGCCCTTTATTTGCGTTGCCAGTGGCTGAAATAGTATTACGGATGGCAACTGCATTTCTATGGAAATTTTGATTCAGAAAATTTATTTTTCAACTGGTTCTGCAGCTGGTTTTCACACAAGTCTTGCTTGCTGGTACCTCAAAATTCCATTATCTTCAACTATTCATAATAAATATATATTTTAATTTCAGTGGCGTTGCGCATCGGCAACCCAACTGAGGTTGCGTTATACATAATCGACCCATTAGACCCCGAACAAACAATAACATACACAGGTACATCAATTTTTTCCATATACGTACTTTATTTATTTTGTCTTTAAGTTACTTTTTTCTAAAGTAATCAATTAAAAAGTAAGAACATTTTAACCGTTAGCGGCGCTAGTTTCCATTTACTAATTGAAGCTATTTAAGAGGATTTCTAATTTAATAGAACAGAGTGAAAAACATTTGGCTACCGTTATTCTTTAATTATTGTTATTATTTTTTTTAAGTATTATTCATAAATATTGCTTTTAGTTTGCTGCTACATCTGCTGTAACCGTTGCCCTCAATAGTATTTCAACGCGTAAGGTAATTGCTGGCATAAACGCAGTTCAGTGTGAATGTATGTATATGTATTTAGAGGGGCAGTAAATGCTTTGCTGGAATTGGAAATGTGTGCTCTATACTTTGTATGAATGTCTGATTCTCGAAATGCATATGCGTCTTTTAAGTTTTTTGTATGTAAGTACGTATGTATACATTCGCAGGCAGCAGCAATGGCACAATTCCCTTTATAGGTTTTAAGTAGATATTTAGCGTTTCTCACCATCAGCAACATTCTGTCAAGCAAAATCAATTAAGTTTGCATTCCTTACCGCTTTATTGAACATAACAACCTTTCACCTTTTCATATTCAAATTACGTATTCAACTACATATAAATGAATTACTGATTTTAGTACTTATCATACTTGAATCCGCTAGTCTTTTTTTTACAAAGTTACACCTTTTCCTATGCTACTCGCAACGTTTTTGGTTGCGATATCCTTTTTATACATTCGCGTGTGGACACAAACTTTTGGATCACACACTTTTAAATAAATTTCATTAATAAACTTTTGACTTTGTGTTGTTAGTATGGTTGGCTTGCGCCGGTTGCGTTTGCACTTTGGTCATTTTACAAACTGTATCGTAGAGTGTAGGGAAGTATTGTATGAACAAGTACGCAGATGCGAGGTAAGCGCAGATGAGTATGGTCAGAAAGAGATCGAAGACGGCAGGTTTTACATGATACACGTTAAGGCGGGCCTCTTGACCCTCATAAAGCATAAAGTCCGGATCGCGTGTATCAGGTTTATCATACATTATTTTCACATTCTTTAGGTACTTTTCGAAAGCATTTTTCAGGTCGTTGTTATGTAGCGCGGATTTTAGCTGCAGGTAGCATTTGATGAGGTTTTTGTTAATTTGCTGCAAATTTAAAAAATTTCAAATTTATTTAGCTAAAAGAATTACATGTTCCTACTCACCAATTCACCGGCAAAAATTTCATTTGGCTCTTGTATTCCATAGACATAGTGAGCCAATGATTCAGCAATTATTTTGGCATGTTGCTGAGTTTGCGCAATAATCTGAGCATCGGACTCTTTGAAGATAGTAGGACGCACGGGCTCTCTGGGCGATTTTAGCGCAGATATTGTGAAGGCAGGCAATCGTTTCATACTAAAACGTTCATGCTCCCAGGCGAGTTGTATATCGGCTAAATTGATTTTCTTGTGCACACCATCGACTGCGACATTGCCGTATTGTGCGGCTAAAGTTTTGAGTAGTTTGAAGAAATCGTTCATTGCTGTGCCTTCTTTGGGTGGTTTAGAAACGTGCATATAAAGACTTCCTGTTTCAGCATTCAATGGCTGTGTAATCGTATCCAAACATAATACGAAGTCAACGTTCTGTAGGTGAAAAAAATTACAAAGCATTAGTAAAACTATAAAACAAAGATCAGTGGTAAAATTAAATATTAGTAGCGGTTATCAAAACGTTGTGTATTTGCAAAAATTACATTTCAAGTACTTCTAGCAAAATTTACACTAAACTGTGGTCTAAACTATTATAGAATTTTAGGTAGTCAAATCCAATTCGACGTCAAACCTCATCTTTAATGCTATTTGCTTTTTTGGCCGCAATCAAAGTGCCCGTAATGGACACCAGGTCCTCCTTATGTCCACATGGCAGCAATTTTTATAGATTCATTTACAGTTATCAACGCACATATTTATGTAAATACAATATATTTATGCACTTTATAACTTTACCTGCAGCTGTACATTCTCATCCAGCCACTTCTTGACGCCCTGGAAATTCAAAAGTGTACCCGATTCGGTGAGTAAAAACAGCAGTCGATACTTAGGAACTGCATTTGGAGTATTGTGCATTTTGCTGAATACTTCGGCCAGTGTAAGCAACACAGCGGCATCAGCGTTTAGTGGGTAATCCTTAGTAAGGAAAATTAAGTTAAATAACTAAAATGTGCATTAACTTATTAGTTATGTAAATACATTATATAGTCCAAAAGTGTTGAGATGCGCCGCCACTATAATCAATGGCAATTTGCTGTTGACTTCACTACCGCCTTCAACTTGTTTTAATAGTTTTGAAGTTGCTGCCAGTTCACCTTGGATAATTGGAATTTTACTATTCTTGCTAGCCGCGTGACTGGCACCAGACACAATAACCTGATATCCATTAGCTGAGATTGAAGCAAACAGTTCTGCTGCAGCGGAACTACGCTGGGATTTGCCTTCAACATTATTACTGCTGGTTCGAGTGACGTCTGAAATAATGCGTTCCAATTCAGTATTGTATGGCGAAAAGTAAATAGGTATTGAGTTCGGTTGTGCCAGCATGGCTTGTTCCAGCAAAATGAGATGCTGAAAAGAAATTGAAGTGCATTAAAGTTAATCAAAAGCCTGTATTAACTGATTTCTAATACGTACCTCTTTCTCTTCAAAAGTCATTGCGCTAACATTCTTGGGTAGCAGTATAACTAAGCCACCCGCTTTTTGGCGTATCTCGCGAAACTGATCAATTGTTAAATCTTGAAGTCTAAATATTTTGTAGTGATGGATCATATGCATTTACTTTAATTCAAATCAATACTTACTTGGCCAACACACAGTGCCTGCCCGTGCTCCAAGTATAGAGCGATTTCGCTTCTAGCGACAAAGCAGATGCACGGCATCCTAAAATAAAGAAAAGAGAGAATAAATTGCAAATCTATGCATGACGTTAAAGGAGCGTAAAATTCGTATCACTTTGAGAAATGTTAACTCATCTGGACGTGGAAAAATTTGGTCTACCAGCAGTTCCTAACCTCAAAATCTGCATTAGCA